GCGGTCGGAAAAAAAGCGATAAAAGCGGGAGGTTGAGCGGAATGAGTACTGTAGCTCAGCATGGAAGAGATTTGCCGATGTTGTTGTACAATCTTTTGGCTTAGATATGATGGAAAAATGGCATGGCATGATTTGTTTTTAAACAAAAAAATTAGTTGTTTTCAAAAAATAAACTGAGCATTTGAAGGATAATTTAACATTGTTTACAGTGATACCAGCTCATTGTCAAAACAAAGCTTACCCATTCTCGCTAGTCACAATAAACTTCATACTCTTGAATAGGCGTCAATGACTGCGATGAAACTTTCGGAAAAGATTAAAATATGGAACTATAAACTTGAAAAAAATATTTCATATCTGCTCAGTAAAATATTTCGTTCACTACGCATGCGCAAACAAGTCGGTCTGCAGGGTGACCTTCGTTGTACCGGAAGTCGCGCAACGGGTCGGAGTTTAGCGAGTTTTCATCATTTTCACTGTCGTTTTTGGATTACTTCTTGTTTTTTTCAACCCTCAAAAAAATAAGGTTGCTTGGTTTGGTATGCTGTTTGTTGTCGCGATATCCCGACTTATTCCGTGTTTCCCTTCGATCGCCAGAAGTGGCAATGTTTTTGTGTTTTTTTCGTTTAATGTTGCTCATTTATCAGTGTTTTTGTCTTGGCACCATTGTTTTTTTTATGCTATAACACCTTAAAATAACACCTTAAAAAACTGATTTCTTGGTCCCATTTTATTTTTTTTCAAACCCTAACCCTAACTAAAGTAATGCTCATTTCATTTTATATAAAAATTAGTACATAGCTCTAGGACTATACTTAGATTTAATTAGTTTTTAGTAAAAATTGGGCATATTACCGGATTCTGCCGTAAATTTGCCCAGGGCCGTTAAACAGCAATTTGGGTTTTTCAAGTGTAAGCTTCATTTCAACAGTGAGCTGTTATCACTGTAAACAATGTTAAATTATTCTTCTAATGCTAAGTTTATCTTTTGAAAACAACTATTTTTTGATTTGAAAAAAAATCATGCCATTTTCCCATCAAAATCCAAGCCAAAAGATTGTACTACACCATTGGCAAATCTCTTCCGTGTTTCGTTCAATAATATTAACATATTTAAACAAGCTATGGTTATTTATTCATTTGTTTACGATGAAACAAAATTGCATTTTATTTGCATTTTATAACAATTCAACAAATTTATTTTTTGTGCGTTATTATAATCACTACTGAGTAATAATCAACAATTGTGAAACGCAGCATGATTGCACAACTGTGATCGTTTGCTGCTATGCAATGCAGTTGTGTTCGTTTTTATTAGCTCCGCTGTCGACTTTGTCGAGCGGAGCTTATCATATGAGTGATTGTCCGTCGTCGTCGTCCGTGTCAATGTTTTACTTTTTCGACTTCTTCTTGAAAACTACAAGCCTGAATGCTTTGATACTTGGTGTATATGTACCTTGGGTAGACCTCTCTCAGATTTGTTCATTTCATGATGATATCTTCAATTCTCTAATTTTGGTGAATATTTTTGTCATTTTTAGTAAAAAGTGATATTTTCGACTT